CAGTGACCCATATATCTTTCATAATATTAAAATACACTACGCTAATCTAAGTGTTCAAGGGAGTCTTCTTTAGGCATGGAAATAAGGAGATATAGGTTGGGTATAGATATAATCAATTATATAAATAATGAAAAACAGTGTTGTAGCCAAATTGCAACAGGGTTCTCCATCTTTGGCATACAACATTAAGTTTGCAATTGCAAACAAAAATGCATTTATTTTAAATATTATTAAAGAGCTGTTTTTAAGATTGAACACTGTGCTACCCATACTTACTCTTTAAAATAGGTCAAGCAGTCCAAAACTCCCATCATTATTTGCATCCTCAGCACAGCGCCTTGTGGGAGAGCACACAAAGTGGAAGTGTAGACCAAGTTCATTCATTGTCATTGTGTTCAGCACAACACAGATGTGTATACATAAACTTGTTCACAAGATAATGTCCAATTTAAACAGGTGTTACAGATTGTGAATTATGTTTATACTGTAAGCGCATACTAACTGGTCACTTCCTGCCACAGGTTTCTGTATGTAAATCGTGGTACCATGGAAACACAGGAGTCAAGGTCATACCTTGCACTCTAATTCTGTTATGCCATTTAAAAGACATAATTGAACTTCCTTATTTGCAATATTTTAGACGGTGTATTTACTAAGCAGGGAAATGTGATCTGAAAATCACATTACACAAATGTAGGGCTTACTAGCCAATATTTCAGAACCGTAGATTTGTTTTTCTCTAAATCGGCTAAGACTACGTTTTTAACACAACCCTTAGATTATCATCCCTGTAGGTTTGGACTTTCAATGAAGACTGGTCTAGAAGAAGCAGAATTTGCTGCTGTTCAGGATAATGCAGAATAGCTACATGAAAAAACTAATATGATGTTCCAAATTTACAGTAGGAAAATGAGAACCCATCCATATGCCTTAAGAATTACCATGGTAAAATTGGCATTTTTTTAACCTCTTAATTGCCAGTGTGTATTCCTAACTTGCTGAGATGAGCCGTTATGCTCAACACAAAAGCGTTGGTGTGATTAGCTCATGCCCGCACTGAGTTAATATGTGAAATGTGCAACCTGTGCCCTCAACCAGAAAAGGGACAACAAGGTACAGATGATCTGCTCCACCAGTGTGTACAAACCACAGCATACACGTATCACTAGCGTGTTCAAGTTGATTCACTTTCTGTACATAATCTCTTCTTTATCTTCCTGTAAAGCCATTATGTGGCAATTTTACAACTTTTGTCAAAATACAAACCATTTAAGTACCTCTTTGTCTTCTGTGTTTGCCTTTACAAGTTGGGGTTGGGGGGCTGTACAATAAAGAACAGATTGGAATAAATTTAGATCCAAAAATCTGATTTGGATAAATTCTCCAACTCAGCTTAGTCAAAGTTTGGCATTTTATTACCTGTTTGCTATTAAGATAGGTGGATGGGGGATGGTCACAGGAGCATTTAGGGGATCAGTAAAAACTAAGTACAAGATTTAGGTTTAGTTTATTTGTAGGGATTTCTAAATATTTTAGATGCCGTAATAGCCTTATTATTTCTAGTTGTTACTACTTCATAATTAATCACTCCTGTGTCCGGTTTAGACAAATCGCTGTGATTTTCCTGACGTGGTTAGACATACATTTATAAAAGTGGCTTTATATAATAACACAGAAACAAAATGTTTATTTTTAAACATTTCATGTTTTGCATTTTGATTCAGTTGCACGTCCTGGCATTTTAGAGAGAGAAGTTAAAACAGGAAGTTACTGACCCATGTGAAATCATAGTGGTTTTATTTTGGGATATTTGTGTTAAATCAGTCCCCCTACAGGTGTAAACCAGAGCGTGGTCACTAAGATTATATTTCTATATTTTCAGTGATATTCAGAACAGAAATGTAATAACTTATACATAGCACACAATGTTTCAGAAGCAGAGGAGAAATAGGTGGAAACATTTTCTAGTAATTATTCAGAAGTTTCCAGCAGACTTCTCACGAAGGCTATAAGCTAGTGTTTCCCAACTTGTGGTCCATGGTATGTTTTCAGGTGGTCCGCAACTACAGCGCCAAAAATATGAAGGTTTTTCATCTTTAATCTAATTCCCAATCACCCAGCCACCAGCTAAAAGAGAGGAATCACAAACATGTGCGGCTCTATAACTATCACGTCATTGGTGCAGTAAAGCAAGATATTATGCACGCGCATACTTTCATTGGTACTCTGCTACTCAGTCCCCTGACTTTGAGCATATGGGTGTCCTCGGGAATTTTTTATTTTTTTTTCCCAGAGAGAGGTAAAATAGGCTCCTCTCTTTTCCGGGCTGTCTGCATTACAGGCCACCCGGGCAAAGCAGCACACTGTGGTACTTCCTTCACAAGCGCACTCAGAATAAAAATTAAAATTATCTTTAAAATTAAGCTTATATTTTTTGGTACCTCCAACAAATGCAATACAGAATGCACACAGACATACTGCAGTGAGGGGTGCAGTCTTCAAAAACAGACTGCTGATGGGCCGAATGGTTCTTATCTGACATCACATTCTATGAATACACACAGACTTCAGTGAAGGGTGGTAACAAAAGAAAATGTATATTTTATTATTTAAAATTAAAGCTGTATGACTCCCACCATCTTATTTTTGGCCCGAGGGGGAGGCACTTTACACATTAATAGGAAAAATTATATGACCAGGGTAGCAGTAGCTAAAAGGGAGGTAGGTATGTACCTGTGCACCGAGAACTTTGGTTTTCAGTTGGTGGGATGGGTAAGGTTAGCCACAGTTATCCCAATCTACAATTCCAAATCTGTAGTGGCTGGTTGTTTAGCATGGGAGCCAACCACAAAAAATTAGTATGTGATGTAGGGGCCCCAAGCCCAGTCTATAACTACTATTTCCATTAAGTTTAGCATTTTGGTTGGCTAGCTAAACTTAATGGAAATAGTAGTTATACTCACCTTAGTTTGGTGTTTTTACTGTAGACTTGGTGTGGTGCCCCCACCTCTTGCACAGCCCCTTCAACGGTAAGCTACTCGCCTGTAATGATCAACTATCAATGTTGCTTGCTCAACATCATGGGATTTGCACTCAACAAGTTAATGTTGTGTACTATGTATAGCTCTGTGATGCACAGGTAACATTCTGAGGAATTACAAAAAATGGGGTAGTTAGAAGGTAGTAAAAAAGGACATAAAGGTTTGGATCCAAAATTGGTAGTAATGCAGTACTGGTTTATAGTCTTTGGCAATCCAGATGCTGTTAGTACTTTTCTCATGATGTTCAGCCAATCAAATGGATGGCTGAGAATCATGAGGTGCATTCCACAGGAGCTGCAGTACCAATCTACATTATTGAATATAGGCCTATTCCTTCATTGGTCAAAATGTAAAGATTTTAATTTAGTAACTAACCTGTTAAATGTATAATGGTGGTCCATAACGCAAATGTGATTTGGGAATGTGGTCCTCTGGTGTAAGAAGTTTGGGACCCACTGCTATAACCATTGAATAGTTGATACCCAGCTTTTGGGAAAGCTCGAAGACTGCAGAACCGTAATAGGAACCATTATAGCTCAATGAAGTGGTCTGGGTGCCAGATCCCCCAGGTTTTAACCCTTCAAATGTAAACATAGCAGTTTACATTACTGGGTTAATCCAGCCTCTAGTGGCTGTCTTCCTATCAGCCGCTAGAGGTGCTTCTGCGACGCTGGAATGCGAAAATTGAATCCAGCGCACAGAATGTCCATAGGAAAGCATTGAGAAATGCTTTCCTATGGACTGTTTGAGTGTGCGTGCGGCTCTTGCTGCGCTTGCGCATTCCGCCTCACTCGGGAGCTGATGACGGCGGGGGAATCCCGGCGCTGGATTAAGGTAAGTAGCTGATGGGGTTTTAACCCCTTCAGCGCTGAGGGTGGGCGGCTCTTAAGGATGATATAGTGTCAGGAAAACGAGTTTGTTTTCCTGACACTATAGTGATCCTTTAACAAGCATGCATTCATTATAATGCACTCCTGATGTTTCTTTTAATAATCATCTCTAAATTAACATCTTATCTACCAGTCAGAATCCCACTTACAGGTCCCAGAAAGCTCTGATTATGACCTTTTTAGTCCTATGCAGAAAAAAAAAAAATCAGGACTAAACATTATAATTTAGACAGGCAATGGACAGTTTAGTCGAGCCAATTGACTTAACTAATGTTAAAATGTTTTAGTGGGAGTTTCATCAAAAGATCAATTTGGGCTACAGTGTGCTAATCAGAAGTGGGTTTCCGTGGTGACTGCTCCACTTTTAGAACGTTGCTTCAGATCGACTCTTTACAAATAACTCCTTTGTTTATGCATAAAGGCAATCTTAATGAATTGCCAAGTGATGAGTGTCCTCCTACTATATTTCAGAATAACCAATTATAATTCTCATAACAAACTCTGAGCTGCGGCTTTTATACATCAAGCCTGGTCTTTGCAACATTTTGTTATAATAGCTTGATCTTGAAGCTTGACCGTTAGTTAAACGCACAACCGCTCCTATTCTTAATTTATATCGATATTGCACCAACCACACATCTATATTTCTTTATTAACCTTCTGGAGTCTCATACTTTATAATTTGTTGCATCCTTTATTTTTCGCAAATCAGCATTCTATCACCTCGTGAAATCAGAACAGTGAGAAATCCTGTGGCTTTTCTTATTTAATGAAGTTTATAGATCATTTCATGACACACTGATCACCAATTATCAGGTTAATTAGGGACTCCATAACTACCATGTTTTTATTTTTTTCAACACGTGCAAGAAAGTTTTATTCCGTATGACAAAGAAAAACTGAGAATGTTTCAAATGTAAAGGTTTGAGCAGTTTTGATACCATGAACAAAGCTATACAGAACTCAGACTTCTATCCAAACTGGTAATCAAAGGAGAAACAATAGATGTTTTTTTTTACTTTAAATAATTTCAATTAAAAACTTGCAGCTGTTGCACAGACGTGTGGGATGAAGAGCTGTCAGTTAAAATCCTGCTTAATGAAGTCACACCTCAGAAGACAGGTCTATTTACTAGCTTGAATACACGTCTGGATTTAAGGGCAATATTGTATCTAACCACGAGTTTTCGCAGACTTGTTCTTAGGATCACTAGAAGATCATTCTTCTAAAACAATTACCTAAGCAGAAGTATAGATCAGGGTTTTGCAGTGGATGTGATCTATTTGGATTTTGCCAAGACATTTGATACAGTTCCAAACAATAGATTAGTGTTCAAACTCAAAGAAATCGGTCTATATGAAAATTCTTGTTCTTGGGTAGAACATTGGCTTAAAAAATAGAGTACATTAAGAGTTGTCATTAATGGTAAATTTTCAAGCTGGACAGAGGTGGCAAGTGGTGTCCCTCAGTTGTGGGACCCCTTCTATTTAACATATTTATAAATGATCTTGAAAAAGTGCAGAGGCGGGCTACAAAATTAATACAAGGAATGGAACATATCAGGTATGAAAAAAGGTTAACAAATTTAAACCGCTTTAGTTTAGAAAAATGTCGCCTCAGAGGGGATATGATAACATTATACAAATATATCCTGGGCCAATACAAACCATTGTGTGGAAATCTATTCACAATTCACATAGGACACAAGGTCATGTGTTTAGACTGGAAGAAAGAAGATTTCGTCTAAGGCAAAGGAAAGGTTTTTTTACTGTAAGAACAATAAGGATGTGGAATTCTCTGCCTGCAGAAGTGGTTTTATCAAAGTCCATACAGATGTTCAAACAGCAACTAGGTGTATACTTGCAAAAACAGAATATTCAAGGATATAATTTTTCAATGTAGGGTAATAGCTTCTTGATGTCTTGATGTAAGGATTAATCTGATTGCCATTCTGGGGTCAAAAATGAATATTTTTCCTAGTTTGTTGTAAAATTGGAAGTGCTTCCAACTGTTTTTTTTCCCCTTTTTGATCAACAGCAAAAAACTAATATGATGAAGGCTGAACTTGATGGACGCAAATCTCTTTTCAACTATGTAGCTATATGTAACCTGTTAATTGAAAATTGCTAACAAATTTTTATTTTTTTCCCAGTTCAACTATTTTGGCATAAAATATGAAATGTAAATTGAATCCCCCAAACATTCACTTTTTTTTGGTTTTACAAATGCTTTAGTCCATTTAGTATTTGCAATAATTTACAGTTTAGGAAAAGGAAAGGCATTTTATTAGGCATGTGCATGGGGAAATTTTCCGGTTCGACATTCCTGAGCGGTGGGTGGGGGCCCTAAATTAGAATAAGGGGGGGACCTAATGTCCTCCCCCCTGGCCCTCACCCTTGAGTGGCGGGTGGTGGCCCTAGAGTAAAATAATGGGGGGGGACCTATTGTCCTTGCCCCCACCCCAGAGCGGTGGGTGGGGGCCCTAAATTAGAATAAGGGGGGGACCTAATGTCCTCCCCCCTGGCCCCCACCCCTGAGCGGTGGGTGGGGCCCTAAATAAGAATAAGGGGCGAACCTAATGTCCTTCCCCTGGCCCCCACCCCTAAACGGTGGGTGTGGTCCCTAAATACTAATAAGGGGGGGACCTAATGTCCTGGCTCCCACCCCTGAGTGGCGGGTGGGGGCCCTAGGGTAAAATAATGGGGGGGGACCTATTGTCCTGGCCCCCACCCATGAGCGGTGGGTGGGGGCCCTAAATTAGAATAAGGGGGGGACCTAATGTCCTCCCCCCTGGCCCCCTCCCCTGAGTGTGGGTGGGGGCCCTAAATTAGAATAAGGGGGGGACCTAATGTCCTCCACCCTGGCCCCACCCCTGAGCGGCGGGTGGAGGCCCTAAATACCAATAGGTGGGGACCTATTGTCCTCCCCCCCACCCCTGAGCGGCGAGTTGGGGCCCTAAATGAAAATGTTACCCCCAGGTGTGTCCCCAAACCCCTAGTCACCCCAAAAAAAACCCTCATATCTCTCTGGGTTACTTTATCCACCAATCAGAGTGTTATGAGTTAAATTACACAGCGTGGGAAAATTCCAAAGAACTTTCCCACACTGTGTAAAATGACACGGAGCACTCTGGTGGATTTCAAGCCAACCAATCAGAGTGCTGTGACAGGTAAATGTAGAGACTTACCTGTCAGTCTCTTCATTTACCTGTCAGAGCACTCTGGATGGCTTAAATCCACCAATCAGAGTACTCTGAGCCTAATTGCAGGGTGGGTCAAGGCTTTTTAAAGCTTTCCCCCGCTCTGCAGAGCTCAGTCTGCGCAGAGCCCTCCATGGGTAAAGATGGATTTTTTTTTTTTGTGCTAAGTGCGTCGGTTATTATGGATTTTTTATTTGGCCTTTTTTGGGGCTGAAAAAAGATTTTAGAAGAAAGAAAACATCAAATGGTAAGTTTTCTTTTTTTTTTTTTTTTTTACAGGTATTAAGTTAATGCCTCCTCCCCATTATTTTTTGGGTGAAGGGGTAGGTCGGGGTTAGTTTTTTTTTGTTTTTTTTTTTTGAATGGGGGGTTTCTAGGGGTTTGGGGACCCCTAGTTACCTGGGGGGTAACATTTTTATTTAGGGCCCCCACCCGCCGCTCAGGGGTGCGGGCCAGGGGGAGGACAATAGGTCCCCCCCTTATTGGTATTTAGGGCCTCTCAGGAGTGGGGGCCAGGGGAAGGACAATAGGTCCACCCCTTATTGGTATTTAGGGCCCCTACCCACCGCTTAGGGGTCGGGGCCAGGGGAGAGGACATTAGGTCCCCCCCTTATTAGTATTTAGGGCCCCGACCCACCACTCATGGGTGGGGGCCAGGGGGGAGGACATTAGCTTCCCCCCTTATTCAAATTAGGGCCCCCACCCACCACTCATGGGTGGGGGCCAAGGGGAGGACATTAGGTCCCCCCCCCTTTTTACTGTAGGGCCCCCACCCGCCGTTCGGGGGGGGGGCATAGGTCCCCCATTCAGGTTAGAAGCCACCACTCGCGCAGCTCGGGAGGGGGGGATTTAAAAAAAAAAATTTTTTTACGTGAGCAGCCATAGGCTGCTCACTGTTTAATAGACATGCCCCTACTCGCGGTATAGCGAGTAGAGGCATAATTTACTAATACTAAGTAATCTTTACTTAGTATTAGTATATTTGGCTGAAAGACCAGTATAGGTCTTTTAGTAGATAGCTCCCCTAATACCGTGGGAATTAGGGAGTTATCTACTTATTCATTCCTGTCATTTCACTGACTGGCTAAGTAAATTACATTTTATATGAATGTATGTTACTTGATTGTTGTAAGTGTTGCAAATGCTTACAGCTGAATCCTGGCTATGTTTGTATACTTTTTATTTAAAATTGTATACAGTGTAACATTCTTAATTCTTCCACTGAGTAAGTATATTATAGTTCTTATGCAATACTGTGCTTCGGCACTTTGGAAATTCATCTATTCGGAAGTACCCAAATGTCCGAATTTCCCGAAATTCGGCCGAATTAACATTCGGATCGAAACGAATTGCACATGTCTACATTTTATTTATTAAATATCTAAATGAACCTTTGAGTTCTTTCCTGTACTGTTGGGCAGGGCCATAACTAGGAATCAAGGGATCCGGGTGCACGAATCAAAGAATGGCCCCCATTATCGTACCTCCTTGCTCCCCCTAAGCAATACGCCTAACTGGGATGTGGTTGGGTGTGATATGTATTTGTAGAGTTGGTGCAGTGTGATTGTATATGAGATTTAGCTGCTTGGCTTCACTTCCGCCAAACATGGAAATCCCCTGAACTGCCAGCACAATGGGTCCATGCATCCAATACTCCCCCAGTAAGTGTCTGCTGGTGGAGTAACACAGTAACTGGGAGCAAGATGAACCATCTGTCACTTAATCTATGTCCTTAGATCCTGTGTACCAGTGGCACCCAGGTCAAATGTTGAGAATTTCATCAACAAATAGAGGAGGGACTATATTCTTAAAGGATCACTATAGGCACCCAGACCACTTCAGCTTAGTGAAGTGGTCTGGGTGCCTGGTCCATCTAGGGTTAACCCTTTCTGCTGTAAACATAGCAGATTCAGAGAAACTGCTAGGTTTACCTATGGGTTAATCCAGCCTCTAGTGGTTGTCTCATGGACAGCCGCTAGAGGCGCTTTCGCGCTTCTCACTGTGATTTTCACAGTGAGAAGACGCCAGCGTCCATAGGAAAGCATTAAAAATGCTTTCCTATGGACTGGCTGAATGCACGCACATTCAGCCGATGACTGAAGAAGAGGGAGGAGAGTCCCAGCGCCGAGGGAGCCCGGCGCTGGAAAAGAGGTAAGGGATTAACCCCTTCCATCCCTTTCTGTGCCACGGGAGTGGGTCCCTGCGGGTGGGGGCCCCCTCAGGGCACTATAGTGCCAGGAAAACTAATTTATTTTCCTGGCACTTTAGTGGTCCTTTAAATAGCTCTAAATTAAAATCTGTACATTTGCTAGCATTTCTGGAATTGAATGGTCTTTAAAGGACCACTCCACATAATGCCGCCCCTGTCAAAGTGCCGCCTAAAGCCGTTGTCCCATTGGGACCAATGGTCTGGCTGGCCCTGCCCCCAATGAATACATGCATGCATATTTTCATGTATGTATTCATTGGGAGTATATTCTAAAAAAGCATACAAAAGCTGCAGCCTTTGTAAGCCCTCCCCTTTTCCCCCAGACGTTACTTTCAGTCTCTTCACAGGGAAATAACCTCTAATTGAGAAGCCTCTGATTTGGTCCCCATGAATACCACTTCTATTGGCTCAGTAGAGCAAATGGAAGTAGGAAGGAATGCTCCCTGGCTGTTTGACAGCCAGGAGAGAGTTCTCTAGTTAATTTATAAAAGTGCTGATTTCTCATAGAAATCCGCACTTTTATAAACTGGGATTAAATGTGGGTACTCCTCACCCATAAAGCACTTAAGCAAGCTGAATTGCTTTTGGGGTGTGGAGTGGTCCTTTAATGTTTAATTATTTTATATACACATATCGGCACCAACATTAATACCACCTGCTAATATCATGTAGGTCACCCTTCTGCTGCAAAAACAGCTCTGATACGTCAAGATATGGACTCCACAAGACCTCTTAATGTGTCCTGTCGTATCGGTGCACCAAGACATTATCAGCAGATTCTTTAAATGAACACTGTAGGGTCAGGAACACAAACATGTATTCCTCACTCTATAGTATTAAAACCATCACTTAGGTAGCTTGCCCTCCCCTTTACTCCCTTAGAAAACTTACCTTACTTCCAGCTCTCCACAGATCTGTAGGCGCTGGCCCTACCCCCAATCCAGCTCTTTGGCTGACATCAGAACTGATGATCTCCACCAATTCAATTATTTTCCACAGGGAAAAAAATGCCTGAGACTGCCATGGGGGCAGGGCCAAACACCGCCCTGGCCAATTAGCATCTCCTCAGAGCGTGGATATGCTGAACATCTGTGCTGCACTGCCCCAGGAAGCACCTCTAGTAACCATCTGGGGAGTGGCCCTGGAGGTGTTTCTAGGCTTTAATGTAAACACTACATTTTCTATGAAAATACATTGTTTACTGCAAAAATCCTGCAGGATTGACTATACTAACCAGAACAGCTACATTAAGTATTGCAAACTTTGAGGTGGGGCTTCTATGAATCTGATTTGTTGTTCTAGCACATCCCACAGATGATCATTTTAGATTGAGATCTGAGAAATTTGGAGACTAAGGCAACACCTTGAACTTTTTGTCATGTTCCTCAAACCATTCTTGAACAATGTTTGCAATGTGGCAGGATGCATTACCCTGATAAAAGAGGTCACTGCCATCAGGGAACACCATTGTCATTAAGGGAAGTACGAGATCTGCCACAATCTCTAGGTAGATGTCAGAGTAACATCCACATGAATACCAAGTCCCAAGGTTTCCCAGCAGAATATTGACTACTGACAAAATAAAGGGCAGAGGCTTATTTCAATAACCAACACGAGTCTGGTGTCTAATTCATGCTTCTCCACGTGCACTTGAAAATAACAGTTTGGGTTCCCCTGAATGTAACAAAGATCTATATTAAACACCAATAACATTATAAAGCTATTTTAATAGAAAGTAGGTCAATTGTAACACATCAAGCAAAGTATCACTTAAAGCATGTAGCTAGATACAAACTGTATAAACAAATTATACCACATAACAAACCAGTGCTGTAAGCACTATGTATAAAAGAGAATGTTATTGGGCACAAACATGAATATTTGCATTCCAAATTAGCTATATTGGAGATCTTTGTAATTCCAGTATAATTACTCTTCGCAAACAAAGTAAAATTCTCAGAAATAGTTAATGAAACATCCCGCCAATGAGCAAAGTAATAAATATATATTCAGGGAGGTGACTGCAGTTTAATAAGTCACAGATTTATTTGTACTTATATCTACAATTAATGACAAAAACAAAGAATGGAATAGCGCTAAGTCAAAGGACAGGGAGGCAGCCCATCTAAATGGGTAAATCTCTCCTGAAAAAAACAAAAAGGACAAACAATAATACAAAACTGTAGGGTGCGCCAGGGCGTAGGGGATGACGTGATACTCAAAACAAAACCTTTATATTGACAATTAAAATATAAAATCTATATTCCACAACGCGTTTCACCCTCAGTGGGCTTTCTCAAGTCGTAATCAAGCATATACCTGGCATGTACAATCTTATATAAGGTAAAATACATGCAGAATTTGAATTTGGTGGTATAATGACGTCATGGTCGTGTGTTCGCGACCATGATATTACATTTGTATAATTAAAATAGTAAAATTCCATAATTGGAATATAAGATTGTACATGCCAGGTATATGCTTGATTACCATCATATCTCTGAAGTGGGGGAATAATACCACTGCAAGCGCTTCACACTAGAGCTGGTTTTAAGCTCTATTCCATGTGAGTAGGCCATTTGGATTTTATTTTACTCTAGCCTTTACACTTTTGGAACATATTGCATTATTGGATATCTTTTCTTCTCTTTTATGTACCTGGACCTCATTTATCTGTAAGACATAATCACCTGGAGATATAGGCAAACTCTTATAGACTTTCCTATATACCTCCTTTTGGACTGTGTTGGCTTGTTTGCTTTTATTTATTACTGATTTTATATTATCTTACTGACCATGTATTATCTGTTTTACTTCAGTTTTGAGTATCACGTCATCCCCTACCCCCTGGTGCACCCTGCAGTTTTGTATTATTGTATATCTACAATTGTAGTCACTGATGAATATCGTGTTGAGTATGTACTAAGGGCCAAAATCATATAGAATAATCTTACCAAAAGTGCAGTGTATATATATCCAGTGAGACACCAGAGCAGGGTAAATTAGCCGTAGACAGTGGTATATCAAGACAGCCATTCCGAGACACGACAATATAGGTGAGGTCAACTTTCCCGAGACAGAAGTTGGAAGCCAGCAGTCAGTGGTGAAGAGGTGGACGGCAAGTCCCAGCTATCCAGGTGGAATTCAGCATGAGAAGTACCAGTAAAGATGCAATGTATATATCCAGAGCAAGACCGGAGCTGGGTAGACCGGCAGCAGACAATGGTATAACAAACCAATCAGCTTGAGGCAGGTGAATATTGAACAGCTTATCTCACCTGGGGCCAAGATTGTAAGTAAGCCATTAGTAATACAGGAATAGACAATATAGTTAATAGTAATATTAACTGTAGTAAATAGTGGGTCAGCTTAATCAGGAGAATATAATAAGTAAACACGTTTTGTCACTTCCAGGGGACTTTATCACAACTGAATCAATACATATAAGTACAAATAAGGCTGTGACTGTTTTCAAACTATGGCCACCTCCCTACATATATTTATTATTTTGTTCCTTGGCAAGACGTTTCATTATCTATTTTTATAACTTTTACTTACCCGCGGGTCACAACTCAACTCTTGCATCTTAACAAAATAGAGAGAACTATACAGGAATTGTGGAAATACAGTTGTAATAAAATTTTTTAATTAATTTAATAAAAACCAGTATCAGCACTTAGTAGATAATCCCTTATCAACCGAAAATAGGAAAAAAAAAAAACACACGTTATTTGGGTTAAGTTCACAATGTTGAAGTTTAAATGTTTATATATTGAAGGATATATCCAGGTGGTTAGGGAATAACTGTGATAACACAATAGTCTGAGAGATGTGTAGTAGATTGTGTTGGGCTGTCTTTAAATATTCGTGTTATAAGGTAATTTTCGTTTCATTTGTTTTCTATATACCCATATTGTATGAAGCATAAAACCACTCCGTTTGTCACAAGAACAAACTACGAAACAATCAGACCACCCCCGAGAGAAGTGTGCCCCTAGTTAACCTCTCTGATCGGTGTTAACCACAGTCTAATTAGCAATTAGACGAATGCTCTGTGTTTGTTCCCTGAATGACCGCTGTTCGGCATACGAACACGTGGCGGTGGCCATCTTGCCATACGAATGCCCAGCGGTGTTTGGTCGTCGAGTGTCTGGAACCCAAATCGGACGGACACTCGACTACGCAAAGACCTCCAGAGTTCCATAATTGCCAAACCAAACATACGAACAACCCGCCATTCGGCTAAATTAATCCCACGAACAAGGGGATTTATACGAACGTCAGTACAGCCATGGATGTCAAGGATTTTCATATCTTTTACCCCAGGAACAAAGATTGACCGCAAGGCCAAAATGTATGGAACTGATTTCGGTTACTGCCTCATGTGCGGTCTCTTGTGGAAATAAGGTCTGCACATATTTCCTAGTTAATGAAAATGTCTATTTACTCATTTCACTATATACAATATAAGCTATGCACACATGTTTTAACCAAGATGGCTGCTAGAAGCTTCTAACCCCTCCTTTCCTCCCCCTCCCTTTAACACCGACTAACTACCTCGTGCAGCAAGATGGAGCCGGGAAACCGTGGGAGACCCTCATGGCCCTGGTGACATCACCCCCAGTAGGCAGAGCATTAGAGCGACCACTTAACACCTAACCAATAATTGATGTATTATTCCATGTTATCTCTGACAATGCTTATGATGTAACTTTGCTTTAAAAGGGACCTGCCATCCCCTCTGAATAAACATTCCTCAAGTTATTCAACAACCTGGAACCTGTGTCTGGTGTGAATTACTTCAGGGAGCGTGCACGCATTGTTTCATTGATTTGGCGAGGGGCAGATACACAAAGAAATAATCAATACCTTGATTGATTTTTCCATTACAGGTCGGTCAAACGAACACTTCCACCTAACTCCCGAACCCCTGGTCCGATTTGGGTGATTTTTGAATATGTTGTTCACCCAGATCAGGGATATCAGGGGTCTAAATGGTATATTTGGGGTACATCCAAAAACAGGGGAAAACCATGTACTGTATAAGTGAATTATCTGGTAAAGCTGAGGGGAGGAGATGTGTGGGAGGTAACATGTAAATGATTGGTTACTGTACTAATTACTGTGGGTGTCTCCCTTGCATGGGAGAAATGCATATAAGCAGGGAATGTGGAATAAATCTTCAGTTCTGCTCTGAAAAAATGTTTCCATCTTGAGAGAGCCCGATCTAACAGGCGAAACGCGTAGATTGAGTTTGGCGGGTATTTCCGATTTTGAATATTGGGAGCGATCAGCAGCACTTGCAAGTCTGCGTTCCTTCAAGGACATCGGTTCCAGTGCACAGGACCCAGTCACACTTTGAGCCTTAGCGACCCCTTGTCACATGTTCATCCTCACCTTGTGGTGTCTCTGGGGATAACTACCTTCCGGGCATTGGTGGATATGCTGGTCGCAGCCCTGTACCGTGGTGTCTGACTCCTGCGGCATATTAAAAGATGCCGGCCGCTGCGGACCCATGCCAACTTGTAGCCCCACGTCCACCTGCGGTATTAACGACGTCAATGTGCGTATAACGTTACGCAGAGGATGCGCGCACACGTCCTGGGGTCAGAGGCTGGGTATGGCAAATCGGATTTAAAGGAGACTTATTTAAACTCCTTTCTTGCCTTTCCTCATTGTCCCGTCATGGTTTCCCGTCATGGTTGTCAGAGAGTGTGTTCCTGAGCGTTAATTTCTGGTTATTGACTTTCGCTTCATTTGACTTCCTGTACTCTGGTACCTTTGACTTTGGCTTTCCCTCCTCGTTGTGTCTCATTCTGTGTCCCCCGACCTCAGCAAGTATTCTCTGGTACGTTAAGTCTGGCCATTCTAAAGCCCGGTAAGACGTTACCTTTAGTCCTAGGTGTAATACAGTTCTGCGTGCTGGATCAACTAGTATCCTGACACCCCTGTTGTACCACCACTGCTGTTGGGTAAAGTAACTGATACTCATTACAAGCCCGGCAGTCCAGTGAATGGGCTGTGCAGGAGGGGGGCTGGCAGAGAGCTTTTACTTACCTTTCCTGCAGCTCCTGTCAGCTCCCTTCTCTCTCCTCCGGTCTGGTCAGCTCCACTGTAAGTCTCGCGAGAGCCGCGGGGAATGCTCCGCGTGGCCGCGAGACTTACAGTTGAGGAGAAGGGAGCTGACCAGAACAGAGGAGAGAGCAGGGAGCTGACAGGAGCTGCAGGAAAGCAGGGAGGGGGGACGAAAATAAATATAAATAAAAAATTAAATAATGTATTGTAAAAAATATTAATAATATATATAAAAAAATAATAATTTTTTAAAATAATTAAAATGCCCTCCCTCCCCCCACCAAGGTTCTGCATCACATACACACACTGCACTCATACACACACACACACTGTATTCATACACACACTGCATTATATACACACACACTTCATTCATTATATACACACACTGTAAATAAATATTCAATTAATATAATTTTTTGGGATCTAATTTTATTTAGAAATTTACCAGTAGCTGCTGCATTTTCCACCCTAGTCTTATACTAGAGTCAATAAGTTTTCCCAGTTTTTTGGGGTAAAATAAGGGGTCTCGACTTATATTCGGATCGACTTATACTCGAGTATATACGGTAAATGAATAAAGTCTTTTGTATACAAGCAAGCTTGAAGTTATAACAAGTAGTTAAAGATTTCCAGGATACTTTGCAATGCAGCTAGTTATAGGTAAATACCTTTTAGGATAAGACAATACAGGATCATGCAGAGTTACAGAGGTTGAAACAGGTAGATTCTTCAATGAAGGCAATACGCCACAAATCAGGATTCTTGGAAACTGATAGGGAAAGTCTTTTGGTAAGATGTAATTCAGGCAAGTTCAGGATGAAGTTATGCACGTTAGTGCCTTTAAAGGACCACTATAGTGCCAGGAAAACATACTCGTTTTCCTGGCACTATAGTGCCCTGAGGGTGCCCCCACCCTCAGGGACCCCCTCCCGCCCGGCTCTGGAAAGGGGTTTAAACTTACCTTTTTCCAGCGCTGGGCGGGGAGCTCTCCTCCTTCTCTCCTCCTCCGTTCCTCCTCCTGGGCTGAATGCGCACGCGCGGCAAGAGCTGCGCGCGCATTCAGCCCGTCGCATAGGAAAGCATTTACAATGCTTTCCTATGGACGCTTGCGTGCTCTCACTGTAAAAATCACAGTGAGAAGCACGCAAGCGCCTCTAGTGGCTGTCAATGAGACAGCCACTAGAGGGAATAGGGGGAAGGCTTAACCCATTGATAAACATAGCAGTTTCTCTGAAACTGCTATGTTTATGAAAAAATGGGTTAACCCTAGCTGGACCAGGCACCCAGACCACTTCATTAAGCTGAAGTGGTCTGGGTGCCTAGAGTGGTCCTTTAAGTATGGTTAAATGCAGATGAGTACAGGATGAGGCACTGCAGGTAAGTTCTCTACAGAATGAAATTATGTAGATAAAATACAGGATATTACCAGGAACAGAGATTCTTTATCAGAGCATAGACTTTAAATGTCAAGGCACTGTTGTGTGCTGGGAGTAGACTTATCAAGCCTCCTAATTAGTTAATCCAGGTGAGGTTATTAAGGTGAGTGAATAGATTAGTGGCTAGGGAGGCCACTAGAATAGAAAATTATGAAGTTCACTTAACGGGCCAGTAATAATCGATCAGTTTTGAAACCTGACACCATAACTGTGTTATAATTTTCAATTTCTTGTTACTGTCCAAGCTATGTTTATTGGCTTTGTTTATTGACCCTGTTGTATTGTGTTCTGATTCCTGTGTCGAGACCTGGCTACGCACTGACCACGAATACTCCCGTTTCCATATGGTGTTCCAGTCCCGGCTTGTTTCTGACTTCGAGTTATTCCATTGTTCCTTTATTTGTTACCAATCTTGCTAATATTCTGCCATTGTTTTGTAGTTTTATTTTGTTTCCCCCTCCTTGTCTTAATGAACTCTTTAAAGGAACACTTTAATATATATATTTTTAAGTTTTAAAAATACTACAAACAAAAGCCAAGCTCTTTTAGAGCATTAACGAAACGTTCAACAATCCTTATTATCCCAGGTAGAATAACCTAATCATAAAATACCTCTTTTCAATGATAAGTCTCACTGCTGCTCCCCGCAGTATAAACAAAACACACTTCTCTCTCGATTTGTTAGCAGGCTGAGAATTTACCCTCTGCTAGTTAATTAATTAAGGAGCGGTGAGTGAATCGAGAGTCTGGAGGATTCTAAATACCTTCCTGACACTTTGGTTGTCCATTCACAATTTTGTGTTTAGTACTGTCACAAACACTAAGGCTCAATGTTCAACTCTAGTATATAAAGTATACCCTGGTCTGCCCTAGATTAGTTGCAGGGCTACGATCTCCGTTAATAGCTGCTATTTACATCTTGGCATTAAAGGGACACTATAGCCACCCAGATCACTTTATCTCATTGAAGTGGTCTGGGTGAAGTATGCCTGTCCCTTTAACCCTGCAATGTAAAATATTGCCGTTTCATAAAAAACGTCAATGTTTATATTGTAGGGATAAGAGTGCTTCTAGTGCTTGTCTCCTAGAGGCTTCAGCACTGGAAACAGGTAAGTAAATAAGAGGGGTTTTAACCCCTTTATGACTGCTAGGGTGGGGGAATCTGGGGGGAAAGAGAGTCACTGTCATGTTAGGAATACAGTTTTTTTACACTATAGTGGTAGGAACATTATAGTTTCTTTAATTAAATGGGCAGTTTAAGCAGAATAAAACATCCCCTTGTAGTGATATTGGTGCTTTTAAGTTGCTGACACTGTTAACTGTGTTAAATAATTTTTGGGGTCTTTGACACAAACAAATGTTTGTGTATTTGAATGCCTAAATAGCCAAATGGAAAAAAATTTCCAAGGCAGTTCTGCTTTCAGTATGACCATTTTGTCCTTAAATTTTACTTTCTGAGAATTTACTCTTTAAGAACTGACCCTGTGTGTCCGATAAATAAAGCATTATAAGATACTGCAGTACTCTGTTATTGCGTAATTGTACAGGCAGACAGATGCGTGTTTGCTGATATATAAACGAGTATAAACACACTCCCACTGATACAAACTAGACAACATTATTTTGTGTGTCTTATTGATCTTGTGGCCATTGACTTTGCAAGGTAGGTGTGAGGGTACTCAAAATGAGACGCTTACAAAGCATGCATTCTGTTACGGCTTAATCAGACCTCAAAATCTATACTTTCTTAAGATGTTCAGATGAGGCCAACAATCTTTGGCATTATCGGGGGTGGAGGATAGCGAGAAGATAGACGTTTGGTATAATTACATTAACTCTTACATTCTGGATAGACGTGTGAGGTCAGCACTTGTCTTTTTTGATCACTGGCACAGGATTCGAAACAGTCTCTAGAAGATCATCGGGCTTCTCAAGGGTATTCATTGATAGATTAAACGGTAAGGTGAATTTAACCCATCAATGCTGAAGTGGCCTGGAAAGCTATTTTTTTTATCATGTTACTGGTTTCTATTAATGCCTGACATCTCAGTATTGACACGGTCTTTGACAGCTATGTAATCTACTTGACAGTTAAAAATGGGTCGTGTATGTGCGGCTGTGAAGTATAAACTGCTTCCCAACAACTATTTGATCAAGGGTCAAATTGTATCCAGAACTTGTAGGCCTCTAGTTATGGGACAATGGGTTTTGGACAGACAAGAGGAGGGATGGCAGCATGTCCTGCAGCAGATATTGAGAACCTTGGCATGAAAGCCACCACTTGCACTCAGACCTTGGAAGTGGCAGTGAGGATGTACCAACAAGGATACCACTTGTATTAGGGAACATTAAACACTTTTCTGGACAAACGCAAAGAGAAAAAATTACTTGTGAAGGACACGGATAGAGCAGATTGGTACAGTCTGTATATGATAGCCTGCAATTGACAGGGTACCTTGTGTGTTGGCACAGGTGGTGCCACAGCCTGGAGTCATCCTGCATATGGAGAGGGACCATTTGTATGACGCGCGCGTGTGCCCCAACATCATGGCCCGCCAAAACATTTGAATTCAAATGTTGGGGCATGGCTACAAAATTAAAGATCACACTATAAAAAGGGCTCCAAGGGCATAAGTCATTGCCCTATTTTGGTTCATTATTGTTCCAAATAGCTTGTTATATCTATTGGGTATTCCTGGCTCTGTTTGATGATTCTACTTTCTGTTCTCCTTTGACACGGCTTTTGTATCTCGCTATTCCTGATTTCTGGCTTCATTGACCTTGGCTTGTCCCTAACTCCTCTGTGTCCTTGTGATGTTAGCCCAGCCACTCTAAGATCCTGTATACATTATCTATTCTACTACACACTGCATGTTGGGTCCCTATATATTCCTGACCGCAATGAAGAAGAGATGGACTACTGTTGCGGGATGGATCAGAGATGTCAAGCTTACCTTGGTTGGGGAATACTTTCAGGAGAAGAGGGAAACTTTCCACTCTCCTGGGCTTACCTCCAGCAGTTCCAAGGCCGGCCGCTTAAGCCCCACCCCCTCTTATGACGCTGCACTGACGTCATGATGCTGATATCGTCACTGCGGCGCATGTGTGACGGCATCATGACGCAAATGACATCACAGCCCGCCAAAACGTTCAAACTCAGATGTTTTGGGGGCGTGGCTTCAAATCTACAGGTCCAGCCTATAAAAGGCAGATTCAACCATAGTTCTCTGCCCTGTTTTGGTTCTACTGTGCTTTGCTTTTCATTGTATCTTGTGTTTTGACCTCGGCTTTCTGACTATTCTCATTTCTGTATTCCTGACCCGGCTTTGGTATCTCGCTACTGTGTTTTCTAGTTCCCTTGACTCTGCTTGAATTCCTTAATTCTGTGACTTCTGGCTCCTTTGACCTTGGCTTGTCCCCGACCATTCTTTATATGTCTAATGTTAAGTCTGGCCATTCTATTTTTCTATTACATCCTGCGTGTTGGATCTCTAAGGAATCCTGATAAGAGAGGGCTAATGTGAAAATTAATATAGAGTTAAAGGAACAATCTAAGCACCAGAACCACTACAGCTTATTGTAGTTGATCTGGGGCAAATTGATTGTCCCTGCCAATGTGTAAATCCTCCTTTTTTTTGTTTTTGTTTTTTGTTTTTTACTAGAAAAGGCAGTTTTAGAAAGGCTGCCACCTCTAGTGGCTTCACTCTGACAGCCAGTATAGGGACCTCCTGGATGAGGTCCTGCAAAGATTGCAAGACTGACATTCCATTTTTTTTTCTGATTGGGAGAGCTTTTCAAGTCAAAGTCTCCATTTCACTTACATGGCCAGCTTGGCTGTTGAGCATATTTACTTCACTGCAATAAAGTGTTTAGTTAATACATTCTAACGTGGTTTAGAAGTAAATATCAGTATGCTATTAGTATAAGGTATGTCCTTGTGTGTACGTATTATATACGTATTTTATTACGACATAAACCAGAAAACAAATTGTGACTAAATAGTGCTTAATGTACATATATGCACATACACACTGTGATATATGCACATACACATTGATGTACAGCGACAACGGCAGAACTACCGCAGTCGCAAGGGGCCGCAGCTGCGACCAAGCCTGTCACTCCGGGTGGCCCGGCCGCCCTGCCGACCCCTGCGACTGGGGTGCCCGCTGGCATTGTGGTGCGGCCCAACCGACGAGGCCGCATTGAAGAGGTCCTTCGGGTGGCCCATGCTCTTGGGGCCACCCGATGGCAATTAATTTCCTGGGAGTGTGACCAGGCTCCAGGAAATTCATTGTGTCTGTGTGGGTGTCTGTGCATGTATGTTTGTCTGTGTGTGTATCTCTGTCTGCAAGTGTGTCTGTATGTGTATCTTTGTGTATCTCTTTGTCTGCTTGTGGGTCTGTTTTTGTATCTGTTTGTATGGGTAAATGTATGTGTATCTGTTTGTGTGTGTGCCCCTATGTATCTGTAGGTGTGTCACAGTTTATATCTGTAGCCGTGTCATTCTGTGTATCTGAATGTTTGTCATTAAGTGTGTCTTTGTATCTGCATGTGTGACTATGTGTATCTGTCTGTATGTGTTTGTTTATCCTGTATCTGTTTGTCTGCATATGTGTCTGTATGTGTATCTGTTTGCCTGTTAGTGTCTGTATGTGTATCTGTTTGTCTGCATGTGTGTCAGTGTGTGCCCCTATGTATCTGTATGTGTGTCACTGTTTGTATCTGTATGCTTGCCATTCTCTCTATATGTATCTGCATGTATCTATATGTGTATCTGTCTGTATGTGTGTCTGTGTAACTGTGTGTGTGTCTGTATGTGTGTCAGTGTTTGTATCTGTAGAAGTGTCATTCTGTGTATCAGAATGTGTGTCTGTGTATTAGCATGTGTGTCTGTGCATGTATCTGTATGTGTTATATTATACAAATGGAGAGGTGGTGGTGGGGGGGAATATGTATGGAAGGGGGCCCAGGGCAATTTTCGCACTGTGGCCCTGTGGTTTCTAGTTATATCTCCGTACGGAGACACACAAGCACATACATTGACAGATACAGTCACACAATCACAGTGTGTGTCTGGCATTGTCTATTGATACTTTGGAATGCACGTAGCGTGTATGTGCCTGAGAGTGAATGTATATCTGTGTGTATATGTGTCCATGACTGTGCCTTCAAAGCGTGTCTGTTTGTTTCTGTTTATCTCTGTGTTTGTGAGCGTATGTGTGGAGGGAGATTCTTGCCGTGTGTTGTGTGTATGGGGGGAGGGGCTGCTTGTGATCTTTCTGTGTGCGTTGTATTTATAGTGTGGCTGTGTCATATATGTGAGTGTGTGAGTATGAGGATTATTGTCTGTGGGGTTGTGCCTGTGTGTTTGACAGTGCCTGTGAGAGGGTGTTTGTGATAGGGCGATTGCAACAGAGTGAGCGTTACACGGTGATGTTGGAAATATGACTGTCTGGGGACTGACTGTGACATAGTGACTGCGAGGGGAAAGTGTGGGTGGTAACTGTGACATGGTAACTTAGTGTGTGTTGAGGGGATGTAACAGGGGGAGTGTGTTTGGGAGGGTTATGAGACATGGTGACCGTGTGTGGGAGGGGATGGGTGGTGATGCCTCCCCACACATTGCTGCTTGTTTTTTATTTTTACCATTTGGCAGTGAGGGTGGCTCTGATCCTTATTCCTGGTGGTCACTCAGAATGCCCCACCCGGTCTCTGACTGGGAAGGGAGAATTTGCTGAACGCTGCTCTAAGCCAGAGGGCAGCCTGCACAGCGCCGTGCCAGGAGATATCTAGATCTCCCTAGCGACACAAGCTGTGTGGGAGATTAGCAGAGCCTGGAACTTGAAAGCTATCCCGGCTTTACTATCAGCAAAAGCATTGCAAACTATATTTGTTTGCAATTAATGAATTTCATTTGCAATGATTCCAATAATGTATACACGATGGCGGGGCATGGGTATAGAACCTGGCAATCATGTATACACTATTGCCAACGTGAAGGGATTAATGGTTCAGTCTACGTTTATGTAGAAAGGTGTGTTAAAAAAAAACCCAAAAAACATAAGATATCCTTCTACTTCCCGGCTTCCATGAACCTCTCCTTCTCGGGTACCGCCAACTTCTCTCTGCCTGTCCTCTTCTGCACCTGGTGCTTAAGCTGTCCAGAGCCGACATTGGTTCTTTACTCTAGCGCATGCGCGAGGGTACAGCATTGAGGTGTATGTGCAAGACCGTGGGATCTTCCATAGAAATAAGAAACTTGATGACGGTAACTCCGCGTAGTGTCAAGTGAAGGAAAATTACTGAGACAAAGCAAGTCCCTACTTCGAATGGGTTGAAATTTCTGTGAAATCCCAACACAGCGAATATAAAAATTTCATGAAGATTTTATCTTGTTAACATACTCATTTTGGAGGGTAGAATGACAGCCCCGCTTTAAGGTATGTCAGCTTGTCCCTTTAATGGTAAAACATTAAAACCAAAATATACTATTCTCTGTTGATTTTTCTATAGTGTGTTTCAGTTAATCCATTCTTGTTTTTTCTTATAAATCAAGACAACACAGGTTGTTTTATTCCTCCAGTAGACTTTAATTATATTGAATATGTCTCAATGTCCGTAACGTGACTGTGGGGCTCTGTGTTCGCAAGAGGCGATGATGGCATCTTATGATGAGAGTTGAGATACTGGGGTCTGAGCAGTTTATCTATGTGCTGCCCTCTGATCCTGCAGTTCTCTCTTGCTATGATACAGGAAATTAAAAACCCTTCAGGACAACATGATATCAATATGACAAGTCTGTTTGGAAGTCATCTGAAGCTCCTCTTGCACATAATTGGACCTGCTTTCTCTTGCTGAGATGCAAGGGAAGCTATAAATTGAAACCATCACGGCAGCATAGATATGTAGAGATATGTCTTATTTCTGACATTTCGTTTTCTGAAAGCACCGAGACTCATTTCTAATTCAGTTCACCATGTTACTATGAGCTTGCATGGGCACAATCTATGTAATAATGATTAACTAAAGTGAATTTATAAATGTAAGCCAAAAGTAGCCGAAATTGAAAAATTATCTAAATCTGCCATGCTTCCAGATCTGCTACTCTGAATTCTCAATTTAGTGAATAACCCCATTATTAACACTTCATGTTCATTTCAACTTAATAAAGGAGATTATCTTTGCAATCATTTGTATCAGCAAAAAGATATTAGCAACTCTCAGTACTGCAAAGTGTATATATCCTTGAAGAGATAATAAGGTGTGTTCTTAGTGGCGGAACTAATGAAGATAATTTTTTGTGGGGCTCCCCTCTGGCGCAAAGTTGTCCAAAAGGTAAATTCTCAATTGTTGTGCAACTCCCACAAACCATTGCTAGCTGGGATCTACCTTTTGCCCCTTCTGGCAGAGTTGTGTTTGTTACATTTGTATGTGCACATGTTTTTGTATGGAGTGTGTGTTTCTCTGTCTCTCTTGCTATCCCTCCAAACATGGTGCTATGTTAAGTGGAAGAAAGTGATCTGAATGCACTTCCTCCTACTGGTCTGACAGGGACCTGGTTTTGCTGTTAAAGGGCCACACTGCGTGACCCGGCCCCTGATCAGAGATAGCTATTCGGTGTCTGTATTCCTAAATTTGAGGAACACGTGATGGGACCCCCAATCTTGCAGACCCTGTCACAGCTATACCGGCAGTAGTTCCACTGGTGGACATTTTACCACTTTGACTTTCTTTCAGATTCAAGGCTTAAACCAATATAAAAGGCAAAACCATACCAAATGTTTTGGGCACAAAAAGAATCCTGAAATTACTTTCCACTTGCGTTTGCTCTCGTTTTTGCTTCATGGAAAATCCCACGGAAGATAAGAGATGCCAGGTTTTTCAAGTGTCGCAATCCAAACATGGAAAACATTTGGCCAATATACGTTTTTATCCTTTTTTTTTTTTTTCGTGGTTTTATTTATGCTTGCGGTAACGTTTTATTTATACGTGCAGAAATTTTTCCAAGAGACAAATGCTGCCAAATTTTATGGCTTTTTTTTTATTGTGCCAGTGCCAACCAGCCACTATTTTATTCAAAAACAAATTTTAAAAACTTTCCTTATTCTGCGTTTTTCTTTTCTTGGTGTTTTAAAACGTAATAGCACCTCTCAGTAACACAAATTTAATTCTAAATCATGTTCGTTCTCTAACAATTCTCCCTTTTTCATATTTAAGACAACATTTTCACTCATTAGTTATACTGGCTTTTGAATGGATTATGGCACCATCTTTTAGTCTAAATGTCGGTTGGTGTTAATGGGTGTGCATTAGACCAAAATTGTCTCTCATTTCAAGAAACCATTCAGTCGGTTGCATCAAAGCATTTATTTGAAGAGACAACACCATTATATTATATGTAATGTGGATTAAACTCCACTTGTTATTTGCAAAGAAGAGATAAAAAGAAATTTTTTTTTTTTCCTTCTCCTTATCTTCACATACAGCTATGGTAATAATAACATAATGTAGAAGCAAGTCATAAGGGCAACCGAGTGAACCAATTTATACTCAAATTATTGTGTCTGTAAACTGCACAATGATCTTGTTTCACAAAGAAACTTGACTTCTTTTCTGTAAGTAACCACAGAGCATTTTAAGAAGCAATGCTAGGGTAAGATTTTCTAAGCTGCTGGCTACAGCTAATATTCTTATAGTCACAATGACGGGAGAAGTCAATGTGTCTGTACTTATCAATTCGCTCATGAATGTCGCTTTCAAACGCCTGTAATTAACGCTTGTTTTTTACTGCCGGCTAGATGCCTGATGAAGGGCTGTAGGAATAAGGCAGGTAAGGATACTTCTTAATGTATTCATGCCTGATGATGAATCGTTATTGAAGCCGCACAAAAGGCTTCATGTTCTGACATAGTTCTATTGTAGATATGGAAACTAAATTTGCATGGCGAAATCTTACATCAATCATATAACCAGTAGTATACATATATATGTACAGATACTATTTAGGTGTACCTTTTAGATATGAAACTAAAGATCTTAGAGAGAAGTCCTAAAGGGCATAAAAAAACCTGTTTTATATACCGTTAAAATGTACTCTAAATCGCAACTTCAAAAATAAATGTTACAGTTTGATCCATGGGGTTCAACTTCTTGCCCTAACTATAGACACATTATCCTTAATTGTACTATGTTATGAAATGTGAAATACCTGTGTGGGACAGAACGAACGTGTATTTTTACTCTTTATGTGCAATGATTTGGAAGTTTGTTTTTTTTTTTCAACAAATAATATTGAAGAGTTAAAACTTCTTATGTGGCTATTTTCAATCTATTTTACTGTCATTTTAAATAAAAATAGGCATTGAAAATATGATTAAATAGACATTTTTGATAAGGATGGGGTTGGCCAGTCTCTTGCATAAAGCTAAAATGCTAGATTCAGGGATATACTTTGTATTTTGTGGGGTAACAGCTTATTGATCCAATGATAAATGCGACTGCCATTCTGGGTACTAGAAGAACTTTTTTTCCTAGTTTGTTGAACATTTGGAAGTGCTTGAAACTGTGTTTTTGCCTTCTTTTGGATCAACAGCAAAAACAGTTGAGATAAGCAGAACTTGATGGACACATGTCTCTTTTCAGCTTATGTTACTATATACATGAAGGTTCGATGGCATTATTGGTGACAAGACCAATGCTCCTGGGTACACATAGTTATTTTTATTATTCAATTTATTTTTTCTTACAGTTTATGGGGTGTAGGTATATGCAGGCCTCTTTTGCATCAAAAGGACAATTTGAGTCTTATTTGCCTTTTATGATCTGGATCAGTTTGGTGCCTTTAAATGTTGGTGGCATGTGGTGTGCATGCACAGATATGGCCATCTCTTTTGTGTTACATTTTCTTCAGTCGAGAAGTTGTGCTAGTGACTTTACTATGGGTGCTGAGAGAGAACAGGAGATAGATGGTTAGCATTAGAGACTGGATTTCCATGTGCATTTAGAGGGATTCACTTTGACCTCTTTATCGTCTTCCAAATCTGAAACTGAAGCCTCCTTTCTTCCTGTTGTAACCATTGAGCTCTTCTGCCAGGGAGCCCAGGGGTGTTCCACTTCTCTTCTCCTCCAGCTGTGGCTCAAAATCGTCTACAGCATTGCCATCTTCTCGTCTCCCAAACCTAAACCGAAAGCCAGCCTTTTCCTTGCCGAATCCCTGGAGCTCTTTGGCCACACTGAACAGAGAGGCAGGATCTGTATACTTCTTGTCTCGTAAAGCTCCACCTGCCAGGAGAGACACTGCACCTTTCTCCATCTCATCTGGGAACATACTCCAAAAGTGCATTTTCTCCCATGAGTCCTTCTTTTCTCTGCTTTCCTGCAAGGCTAAACTTGATCCCAGGGCAATCAGTACCAGAATAGAGAGTCCATAGATTCCTGTCATCTAAAAATAAAAAGTGGAAAAATTTTCATTATGCACAATGTACTAAAGGTAGGAACTTACCAAAGCCTGTCCTAGATAACAATACAGATTTTAGGAACACTTGTTCAACTTTCTTGCTTGTTTATGTTTCTAGAAATATACATATATATATATGTAATGTCTTCTAAAAGGTGAAATAGTGGTTTCAAATAACACTAAAGATGACCTAGTAGATTTGATGGAATGATAAGAGTTGGTCTAGTCCAGGAGAAGATAACCTTGAGCTGTCCACTACATCTCCCATAATGCTCACAGCCATAATGCAGGCAAATTATCACAGAAGATGTAGTCCATAACATCAAAAGTGCCAATGGTTGCCTGGTGTAGTCGTTACCAAAAAGAATTCAGTTAGCCACGCACACAGCACAGATGACGTGCATCAAACAAGCTGATACTGCCTACTTTGTGCTTCCAGAAGCCTTGTCTAGAGAACATCCATCCTGGAATTCCAAAACCTTATTTATGGAAGAGCAGGCAAATACAGAAATTAGACTCCAGTTAGCGTTCCCTGTGTGAGATGACTGCTAGACCGTACGAGATCTGTACTCTCTGTGGAGAAAGTCAGCAATCTGTTTATAGTTACAATACTTCCCTCTCTTGAGAAGCCCTGATAGAGATCTGATTACCTTATCACACATGCTCAGGGATTGCCTAGAATTTCAGCAGGCAGAGCATAAAATCTACTTTTGCAGAACTACAAGTGATAACATACATTTTTTAAAACAGTACTGAGATACATGCTTTTTATGCATCATTAGGTTATTGTCTGTATAACATAAAAGCTTTATTGTTAGCGAGACTACAAAGCATTTTGCTTTAAATTTAAAGGACAACTGTCATCAAATGTTTACTCTTTAAAAAATAAAAAGGTTATTATAGTTAAAAAAAAAAATATATATATATATATATATATTTTTGAAATCATGTATATTGATATTTTTGGGCGAAAATTGCACTTTAAAAAAAAAATATATATAAATCTGGCTTCACATAGAACAATCACAGCAGCACACAAGTTAGGTTGAGCAGCAGTTGGTCAGCTAAAAGTACAGTGTGACCCAACATGGCTGCTCAGCCAGATATAAAGTGAAATGTTCTCAAAAAAGTCAGTATGCCTCATTTAAAAAAAATAGCAATTTATAGCATTGTTTCATTGAACACGAGAAATACATTTTTTATGACAATTGACCTTTAATGTACACCCCCCTACATCCTCCTAGTACCACCAAAAGAGGTAGAAAAAAAGCATAATCAACAGGTGAGGTATTATTTTTTATTTGTGTACCCCCCACTCTCCCCCATAATAATCACTCAAACAATATTTAGAGGGAATCTGTACTGCTTACCTGGCCCTCCACTCCCCTGCCACGATCTCCTTAGAGAGGTGGGTGTTGCATTTCTGTAACGACCACCTCTGGTCCGCCTGCACTCCTCCTCTGGTCTTCATTGATTGCCAATCCTCCTTCTTAACACCAACACATTGACTTTGTTGCCAGCATGTGGGTGTCTGAATCGAGTGACTTCACTCTGTTCCTACACTTCATAGCCAGCACTAGCAGTGACGGACAGGGCCGGACTGGGGATTCCAAAGCAGCCCTGGAAAAAAAATCTATGCCAGCCCCATAAGTCATTGCGCCATATATTGTCGCATGTAATATGTAAGGCTATGTCTTGCAACCCTAGATGATTGAGATATATATATATATATATATATATATATATAAAAACAAACGGATCTTGCACTCCACCAATTCAATATTCAATGCCCGGTGCTTGTCAGCCAAAAATGCAAAAAATATTGCCAGAGATAGCACTCCAAGGACTAATATAAAATATAACTTTTATTACCTCCACTAAAACAACACAAGGTCAACGTTTCAGCTTGATCCCCTCAAGCTTTCGTCAGGACATCTCCTGACGAAAGCTTGAGGGGATCAAGCTGAAACGTTGACCTTGTGTTGTTTTAGTGGAGGTAATAAAAGTTATATTTTATATTAGTCCTTGGAGTGCTATCTCTGGCAATATTATATATATATATATATATCTTTTTCCAAGATAAAATATTGGTCCTTTCAGAGTAAAATTTTTAATTATACAGTAAGCATACTCACATGCATACACAGACAATCTCATTGACAAGCTGATTGATACACAGCCTCATACATAAGGTTATTGACATAAAAACACAAGCTCACTCAGTAGCAGGCACACACACACAAGCAAGCGCGCGCACACACACACAGCTTAATGTAGTGGTACTGGTGTCTATAGCCTGTCCCTGCAGGCTTTTCAATGTAAACACTGACTTTTAAGAGAAAAGGCAGTGTTTACATTGCTTCCTAGTGACAGACACTCAGACGGTCACTAGAGGTGCTTCCTGTGTCAGTGCGGATTGGCTGAGATCATCAAGCTTGATGATCTCAGCCGTAGAGGCAGGGCCAGGCGAGGGGAGACCAGCATGACGTGGGAAAAAAAAAAGGTGAGTAAAAACACACATACACACACACATACCATGACACACAGAGAGACCGTGACACAGACAGAAACACACACACCATGACAGACAGACACACCATGACACAGACAGACACACACACACACACCTTAAAAAAGACACACACACCTTGACACACACACACACCATAACACAGACAGACCGTGACACACACACACACACACACACACCACGACACAGAGAGACAGTGACACAGACACACACACACCGTGACACAGACAGACACACATTACATGACACAGACAAACACACACACACACCATGACACACACAGACACACACCATGACATAGACACACATTGCATGACACAGACAGACGCACACACCATGACAGACAGTGACACACACACCATAACACAGAGACACACACACACACACCATGACAGACAGTGACACACACACCATGACACAGAGACACAAACAATGACACAGACACACATTGCTGACACAGACAGACACTCACACACCATGACACAGACAGACACACACACAAATGACACAGACACACACACACACATACACAATGTCTACCTGTGGGGAGCTCTTCTGGCGGCCGCAGAGGGAGCTCCTTTGGCGGCCGCAGGGTTTGCTGGCTGTTCTGGCCACTGCAGGGGGAGCTGGCTGTTGTGTCTCTGCTCCCCCTCCCCTGCGCGCCGCTTAATGAGACCGGGGCCGGAATATGACGTCATACTCCGGCCCCAGTCTCATTAAGCGGCGCGCAGGGGAGGGGGAGCAGAGAGACAACAGCCAGCTCCCCCTGCGGCCGCCAGAACAGCTCCCTCTGTGGCCGCAGGTGAGCCAGCTGGCTGCCCGGCGCCAGGTGCCGATGGCCCACCGCGAAATTTCCCGGTATCCCGGTGGGCCAGTCCTGCCCTGGTGACGGACTGTGGTTGCTTTGGATGGAGAGCAGAGGGACCTCCTGTGGGAGGTTTCTTCTGCTCTCCCTGTCTCTCAGTACCTCAACATTGAGTGTCAGATGTATTTTTAAATAGCGTTTTCTCCAAAGCTATACATTTTCTAGTAAAACTGCTAGCACAGTGTATAGATAGAATTTCAATCTCTTTTAAAAGAGCTAAAGTTTATTTTATTTCATTATTTTTATTTTTTAGAAAAGTTATTTCAGTGCCACCTGAATATTTTATTGTGCAGTGCAAAACCTCAATCTAAGGCATCGTAAGAATGAGACCTCATCTCATTTCCTTCAAGCTGATTGGCTGTTAGCCTCTCCTCAATATTGATTTGCTGATTGGTCAAACAGTGTTTAAAAACCAACAGTTAGTCTCTATAGTCCTCCCAGCTTCACTTCCTGCACAGAAGCTTGAAAGATCATAGAGACTAACTGATGGTTTTCGAACACTGTCCGACAAAAGGTGCATGTATATTTGTTGAAAGTTCCTCTCATATACTAAAGGTAGGAATGAGTTTTTCTCCTTTTTTGTTTTATGTATACTTCATGAAATAAATTCCTTTCAATACCAGATAAAATGATTATTATATTAAAAAATATTTTCGAGGTGACCGTTGTCCTTTAAAGGGACACTATAGTCACCAGAACAACTACAGCTTAATGTATTTGTTTTGGTGAGTATAATCATTGCCTTCAGGTATTTTCATGCAAACACTGCCTTTTCATGGAAAAGGCAGTGTTTACATTGCCCTTCCAAGGGACACCTCCAAGTGGCTACTCCTCAGATGGCCACTGGAGGTGCTTCCTGGCTCAGTGCTGTACAGTAGGCAGAAATGCCGTTCAGCGTCCCCATGCTGAATTTTCCTCATAGAGATGCATTGATTCAATGCATCTCCATGAGGAGGTGCTGATTGGCCAAAACTGTGTTTGGCCCCACCCCCTGGCAAATTTTAGCCAATCCAATGCTTTCCCCATGGTAAAGCATTGGATTGGCTAACAATCTGCAATTCTGATGTCACCAAGGGGGCGAGGCCAGTGCTGTTGGACCCGCACGACGTTGGAAATACGGTGGGTTTTTCATGCTTTTAACCCCTTAAGGACCAAACTTCT